ACTAAAGGTACAACAGTGAGATGGACATGTTTGTGAAGCTCACATTTTCGTGGCAGAGCCAGACAATAAACAAATAAACCTAAGCGTAATATGGTGTCAGGTTGTAAGTGCTTTGATGAAAAATAAAGCACATTAAGGGAATAAAAAGTGACAGGGGCTACTTTGTTAGATTGGGTGTTCACCAAGACCCTTTTGATGAGCAAACATTTAAACATAGACTTGAACAGAGCAAAAGCGCTCTAGGCTAAGAGAACAGCAGGCACAAGAGAACCCAGACTTTCCCAAACTTTATTCACAAGTGTGTTGTCTGGATATCGGCCTGTATTTTACAAGAGACTTTGATTGACATGACTTAACAGACCACACTTTGAAAACGGGGGCCGCAGCAGTGGGTAGTTAAAATTGTGTAACCACCCCCCCCAACACAGGCATTTGAGGAATGACACCCTTATCCTTGTTACCTACGGAAGTACAGCTGCCCAGCGCTGCTTCCTGCCCTCCTTGGGCAGCATGTTGCATACAGAGCTCAGCCTCCCAGAGACCTGAGCATTGTTCGCAACGAGTGACGGGGGTCAGGAATATTTTACATTACTAGACTATGAGCAGGGACCGTGACAGACCATTGCTGGATAATCAGGCTGTGTCTCTGAAAGTCTGTTGTAAAATGTCATATGTGATACATATTTGCTCAAGAAACATGCATTGAGCATCTAATACGGGGTCAGTACTTTTGGCTTACATGATTTCACCCTCATGGCAACTCTGTAAAACAGCTGGCATTCCTATTTTACAGATGAAAACATCGAGGCTCAGAGAAGTCATGTGACTGGTCCAAACAGATGTCCCAGTCTGGACTCAAATTCATGATTTGCCTTTGCGCTGCGCAGCTGGTGTGATAGAAAGGACAGTGTTTAGAATCTGTGACCTTGCTTTGTAGGTGCAGTTTGAAGAATCGGCAAAGTCTTTCCCCAGTTTCCTCTCCTTGTTGAAACCTGCTCTACCTTCAAGGTCTAGTCCAAATGCAAAGAGCCTTCCCAGAGTCATCCAGATTCAATTCATCGCTCCTGCTGGGCTCCCAAAACAAGTCCCTTGTGTCTCTAACATTCACGTCATCCTAACGTGAGTCGCAGTTAAGTTTTACATTTTTGCCTCCCTCACTTGGGTCTTTTTGGTCTTTCCGATTCCACCGTGCAGGGCACATAGGAGGTGCTCGTTAAATATTTAGTGATATGGACTCAGCCATAGGCTCACAACTGTACCTATTCCCTTAACATCCCTTCAAGTCATGGCCCTTGCACCCAGGGACGGGGAGATGAGGGATCATTTGGTCTAGGGAGGGTGGCAGAAGACCTGCGTGGGCTGTGCAGAGTAGGGGTGGTGTTGGGACTCTGAAGTCTCCCATACGTGCTCCAGGATGCTGGTCAGTGGGGTGGAGTTCCTGCTCCAGATGCCTGTAACTGGCCGGGAGTGAGGGCTAGCAGGGCACCACGTCCACTCTCAGTGGGATGGGCTTTCTGTGTGTCACCAAACTCCAGTGCTTCCAAGGGGATCTCCTAGGTCCTTTATAGTACTTGGGGACAAGAAGGGCAAATCAGGGTGGGAACGTGAGCAGGGATATGAGGGTTCCTGGAAAGGTGTCACCATGTAGGGTGGAGACTTGTTTTCCACCAGTTTAGTGGCGCCTCCTCCGTCTGTGCCTCAGTTGTGGACTTTTTCCATCCCCGGCCACTCTGCCAGGCTTACGATAAGACTGGTGTCTGTGTTTCTTCCCGTGTTGGAAAACTCAGATATCCCAGGCAGATTTGTGCGCAGCGTTTCCCTAAGCCAGAGGGGAGGCTCCAAGCCACAGCCGCTTCCATCCCGGCACTGAGCCGGCTCTGCGCCCATCGCTGTGGCAGGGAGCCACCGACTGGGCTTAGGACAGACCAGTGACAGCAGAGTGGCCTGGATGACATCACGGCTATCCCTGCGCCACCTCTTTCCCACCCCATTGGTCTCTTCCTCAGTGTCTCTCGGTGGGTCGGTCTGGTCAGTGGGTCCCTCTGCCCCCTCCCTACTCTTTCTCTTTCTCCCTTTCCCTCTTCCTTCCTCACTCCCATTTCTCACCTCACCCTCCCCCTCTCCGCAAAGGGTGCAGGGAAAGGACCCACTGCTCCAAGTGGCAGTGATTCTGAGCTTCCAAGGAAAATAAACCGAAGCTACTTCAGGTCATCCTGGCGCATTCCTTAGCACCTCCCATTGGGGTTGCCTGGTTAGGGATCCTTTGTGAGACGGAGGGAAAGCAGCCAGGAGCTCCACCCTTCACAAATTCAATGAGGCAGTTTGGACGCGAACCCAAATGACCAGTTGCAGCAATCCTTTGAGGGTGCTGAAGTGAGGCCGCTCCAAGAAAGCAAGCGGTGGTTCCAGTACGAAGGTAGCCAGGCCATGGTCAAGATCCAGCTTGTCCTCAGACTGGCTTCCCTGGCCTCAGCTGTCAGGGTGGGGCATGGCATGGGGCACCCCGTGTACCACCTGCTGCCAATTGGCCATTGGTGGGCCATTCACATGTCCTCTGCGGGACATTTGCAAGCGCTGCTGCCACAGTGTTCTCAAGCTTTAGCTTGTGTAAGAATCCCCAGGGAAGCTCATTGACAATGCATATGCCCGGGCCACACCCTGTGGGTTGGATTCGGGAGCTGGGTGGGGTCCTAGGATCTGTGCATTGAACCAGGACACCAGTCTCAGAAGAGGAAACTGGGGATTCCGAGAAAGAATCAGAGGGACAGCTCTGCAGCACCAAGGCACGGAAAGAAGCACCAGGCCCTCCAAGCTGACTGTGCTTCCAGCGTGGGGAGCTGGGGCGTACCCTGCACCCTTCCAGCGAGGTCCTCTTTAACTCGAGCCAGGCTGTTTTAAGAAGACACCTGCTATGAATCTGAATGCCACACAGACTCTTCCCAGGTATTTGTGGCCGATAGGAGCCTCTAACTGAGCCTGAGACAAGAACTTCTGTTTTCTCTACCCACCCTGCAGAGGGGCCCCATAGCCAAGTGCGGGGTGGGGAGGATGTGCATAGCAGTAATATTGTATTTTAGGCACTTTACAGAAATACCTAATCCATTCCTGCCCACCACTTTCCACCCTCCATACAGGCACCAAAGAGTAGTATCTTTAAAATTCCAGCTGGACTGGACCTAAAACCTACCTATGGTTCTTTGAGGTCAAGCTCCAGTTCCTTAATGTGGCCTGCAAGGACTTTTTGGGGCTGGTTCCTCCCTTTCTGCGACACCAACTTACTACTTCCATTTGCTCTCCAGTGACACAGAAATATTCGTAGTTCCTCCTGTCCCTGTGCCTCGGCTGCTCACACTGCCAGGAATGCCTTCCGTGCTTCCTCGGCTAGGTATCACCTGCTCACCTGCTAGGACTCCACTCTGGAGTCACCTGCTCCCAAAGTCATTCCCTGACACCCTCCCCTGTGATGATGGTGACTCAATACTACACCTGAGCTATGCATTCCTATCCTAGCGCCTACACTGTGACTTTGGGGCTACCTGTTGGCATGCCTGCCTGACCCCATAGAGGTGAGCTCCTCAGGGGCAGGCAAGGTGTCTTAGTCACCTCTGTAGTTCCAGCACCTAGCACGGGGCCTGGCACACTGTAGGTGCTCAGTTCATGTCTGGTGACCTAAACAGGCTCTTTTTGTTTTCAGGGTTCTATAGGAATCAGTGCATAGAACAGAGAGGGAAGTTTAAGAGGAGTTCGGACACCTGAGATCTTACAGGTTGCTCATCTCCTACTGAGGTGCACCCAGAAGCTCTGCAGAACTCCAGATCGGGGGAGGCACTCATGCCAGCCACTCCACCCAGCGTAGAAACAGACAGAAGCCTTGGAGTGAGTATGTCCCCCACGGCTCATGGGCGTTGCTTGTGATGTCATTAGAGCCCGCATCATATCATCTCCCAGAAATCTGCACTTGGCTTTCAGGGATCCCCTGGCTCTTTCAGTGAGCTCCACCAAGCACGCGGGGCCCAGAGCAGCTGCGGCTGCCGGGAAAACCCACCGTGGGACTTCCCTGAAGGGCCACTGATGAGGCGGAAGCGTGGGGCCGAAATTCACGGCGGCAGAGCCAACCAGAGGTGGCACAGTGCCCAGGGGCATCAAGGCAGCAGCTGGCCCCTGAGGCCCCAGGACTTGAACCCACAGGCTTAAGGGACTCCATGGGCTTGAGGCCCAGATAGCAATCACGGAGCCACTTAGGCCTGATGCACGCCAACAGCCTCGAGCACCCCTCCCCTGGGTCTTTCCACAGAGAAGCAGCACAGAGGATGGCAGCCTCCAGGACTCGCGGTTCCTCACTCGTGGCCCTGCTGTGTCCCTAGGTGGAGGAGGCTCAGGATGTGGCGGCTCCCATGAAGATGGGTGGGAAGGATCTCTGGGGATCTCTGGGGTCAAGTGTAATGTCTCCGTACTGCAAAGCCCATAGTGGGGCTTCCACTCATCTCCCCCTCCTGGGGCTATCTTACCGCGTTCCCCTTCCCCTTCTTCCACCCCCGCCCCAGGCCAGCTGGGTAGTGCAGCTCTGGTTTAAGGGAAGGCTGGAGGTATTGCAGGGGGAAGACTAAATCTGCGAGCAGTTTGCACAAACTAGAATGCCTTGCCCACCGCTTCCAGACAAAATGAGAGAATGCTTAAAACGACCTCTAGTAGTACTCAAACCCAATATTTAGGGCACAGCCTAAGTTTTGAGCAGTGGTGGGGATGGGAAAAAGCAGCAGGCACTTAGATGGTGGGTTTGAGTTAAAAAAACAGACCTTCTTTCTCCCTAAATTCCAGGTCCCTTGTACAGCTCCCCAAATGACAGGGGCGGGAGAATGGAAGGAATGGGAAGGCAGGCCTTCCCAGCAGGGGACATCTTCCTTGGGCGCTTCCCTGAAATTAGGGCCCATTTAGGGGAAAGGCGGGAATTGGGAAATGACGAGTCTCCATTTCCTAACACTTCCCACAGATCCCCACCCAGGCCCTGCTCGGTTGCCAAGCGGCTACCACTGAGAGCCTGCCAGACACAGCCCAGAGGGCGACGGCAGTAGAAAAGAAGGCGTTTATTCCGTTTCCTGAAGGTGCGGGTGCTGGCTTACAGGCCTGTGCTCACGAGCGTGGCCACCTGTTACTGCTGGCTGGCTGCGTGTCGCTGGGCCAGGTGGGGCCTCAGAGAGCGGGAGAGGGTCCCCGAGACACTGCCGCCTGGCCTGGATCACTCATTTGCTCAATCTTAGGCTCAGCCAGAGCACGACTAGAAGGAAAATGAGGCTCTGTGTTGCCTGGGGCCGAACGTGGTGACTCCAGAAGCCCCAGGACAAGCTGTGTCCAACGTGAAACTCCTCAGGAGGAAGGAACACTGAGATGAGGCCGTTTGACCCAGAACCCTGGGTCTCCTCTGCTGTTCCCCAGGGAGTGAAGCCCTGTAAACCAGAGGCAGGGTGGGAGGGCATGTTGGAGACACTTGTCCCCACGGCCTGGCCAGGTTCAGCCATACAGGCCAGGGTGACAGAGGAGCAGTATCTGAGTCTGGATAAGACAGAGAGGTCAGCCCAGGCAGTGGCCGCCACACTCCTCCCTGTGGGTCTGGGCAGAGACGGCCTGGTGCCCCAGTCCCGGCTGCGCTGCTTCCGCGGAAAAAGGCAGCGAAAGATAATGCTGGTGACATCTCCCGGCCGTTGGCCAGGAGGGAGGTAGGCTGGTGAGATGGGACCAGATCTCGCCCTGGCTTGGGTCCCACAGTGCAGGAGAGCAGTGTTTGAATCATTCTAATGCTTCAGGAAGCCTCGTGCACCCCAGGGAGCTCAGACATCAGGAGCTTCTGGGACTCTGCTTAACCTGCAAGGAAAGGCACAGGTGAGCCTCACCCACCTGTCAGAGCAGCCTGCAGACCACACCCCAGGGCCCGGCACGGTCGACTTTCCCTGAGCCTTGCGAGTCCTCCGCTCTCCTCTCGTAGCGTCTTCATTCCCCGAGATCCCTCTGCTTCCCGTCTCTGACTGCGCATTGGAATCACCTGGGAAGCTTCTAAAAACCCCACCCCAGGCTGCACCCAGATCTCTTGGGCAAGACCCAGGCGTCTGTACTTTTCAAAGCTCCCCTGGTGATTCCAACATGCAGCCGTGGTTTAGGAGGAGGGAAAAGGAATTCGAATGGGTCATTTGGCTCCTTGGCTACAGCTCTGAATAAGGAAGTGAAAATTCATTAAAATAAAGTTTTGAGCTGTCTGTAAGTAGATTACATATCACAGCAAGAAAAATTTATGTCGGCACTAAAATTAGAACTTCCTGCTCAAGAGAGCTGTTTTGGAAAGTTTTCCAAGACGCTGTGGAATCTCCTCTTTGTGGGTATTTAAGAGGCAGAATCCTCCTCTCGCTGGACTAGGACAGGGAGAAGATGCGCCCCTCATCCAAGGACCCTCTGACACTCTGAGGACAGACCACAAGCTCTGCTCCTGGTTTCCCGACCTCCTGGCCCCAATTCTAATGTCTCAGACCGGTGTGACATCTGGGGACCAATTAACATTTAGTGAGTCCTCCCCTCCACACACACCCCCAGGCACCTCGAATATTTCATTTTATTTACTCCCCTATGGTAACGCCACGAGGTAGGAATTATTATTCCTGCTTTATAGGAGTGGGAACTGAAGCTCAGAGCTGAACAAATCTCCCAGGGTCATGAAGTTGGTAAGAAGCAGAGGCAGGATTCAAATCCTGCTGGATCTCTGCTGACCCTTCCCACCCTGCCGCTGCTTCCCAAACGGGGAACGACAGACACGAGGCTGCTGGGGAGGACGTGGGAGGCGTGCGCACGTGTGTACATGTATGTAAATAGGCCACTGACCTTCAGGGCAAGCAGGGACCATTCTTCCTTCTGAGATCGTCTCTTTGGTGTTAAGTGTGCTTTATGAAGTGCGGCTATAAGATGGCAGGTTTTTTTCCCCCGTTCAAATATGCTTACTTTGTTACAGGGGCGCTTGGCAACTCTGTCGTTGGCAATTTTCTTTTGTGAATTTTACACAAAATCCCGAAGTCTGAGCCCTGCTACATTCCCTCACCACCCCTTCCACTACCCCGGAGCCCCCATCAGGAGCCCGTCCAGGGTCTCTGCTGGGCCTGCAGCCGGAGCCGGCCTGTGAGCGTTGGCAGGAGGAACGGGGGCCCCACGAGGCCAGAGAAACACAGGCCTTGGGCAGCGCACCCAAGCTGCCTGTGCTGCAGCTCCCCGAGCTAGGACGTGGGACGGAAACGGCACCCGCTCTGATGATGGCTGTGAAGATTAAAGGAGGCAATCTGGGGGAAGCCCAGGCACGGTCCACATTCAGCGCAGAGCTGGACACGGGCACAGATCCCTGCCTCTGAGCCCCCCTCTCTCTGACAGCACGGAGGGTCACATTTTAAAACTGTAAGTGAAACCTCAGGATGACAACTCCTTTGTGGACAAGGCCTAAGCTCCAGCGGGGCTGTCTGGAAAATGGACACGTGTCATCAGACCTGCACGGGCAGGCACAGGGACTCTGCAGCCCGAGGCAAGGACGGCTCAACCCCCGCCCTCCCTGGCACACGGTGGGAGCTCCTTACCGTTCGATGATGCGGTTGTTGTCCTGGAGGTCAAACGCCAGCCGCTTCATCTCCTTGCAGAGCTCCTCCATGCTGCCCAAGGCAGAGGCGGGAGAGGCAGCTGAGGCCAGTGTATTGGCCCAGGACCCTTCCCGGAGGCCTGCCCCCCACTGAGGCAGCTTCTGCATTCCTGCCTCTTGGGCCTGGCATGAGGCAAGACTCCTCGGGCCCTACCCTTAGCACCCTCCCCCTTCCACCACCCTCTTCCACACCCCATCCTCTCCGGCACTTACTGGAAAAGCAGGTCCTTCGGTGTAGGACAAGGAGCTACGGCGGGTGGTGAGGCCGGAGGGCCCTGTGTTCTGTCCTGCAGGAGCTGGTGAGACAGCCGGTCAAGGATCTGAAGGGAAGCCGGGCTTTGGTCAGCTCTTATGAGCCAGCTTGCGTGCGGCTGGGCAGGGGCCGTGCTGAGGAAGGGTAAGGAGAGGATAACAAAACCGCCCCGGTCCGCACCCTGGAGTGCCCAGAGTCCCGGCGCCTTCCCCACCTTGCCAAGGCTCTCCTGGGCTCCCTGGGCTTCTGTGTTACAGGCGGCCACAGAACAGCCCACCAGGCGCAGGTGGTTCCTGGTCTCGTGCACCACCCTTCGGAGAGCAGATAAAGAACTAGAATTAGAGCAGGGCTCAGCCCTCTCTTCCCGGGCCACCTGGCTGGTGTCAGGCCACCACATGGACATAGCTGGGTCCCAGGCACTCACCTCCCTCTCGGCCTCTGCCCTTCCAGCTGTGGCCTCTCCTGTCCCCTGCCCGACTGCACTAATGTGGACCAGCACGTCTGACTGAGGCCAGGAGGGCCCCGCAGAGCCACAGTGGGGAGCTGGCAACATGCACGCAGCGGGTGACACATGCCAGTTATGGCGAGCATGGCACCAGGGGAGGCCCTAGAGAGGCAGGGGACTGCCCACACTCCTATTTGCAGTGTGTTTCTCCTCTCTCCAGGTGGAAGGAATGAGCGAAACAGGCCCAGCGCCGTCAACCCAGTGGCTGGTTCTCAGCCCTGCTACACATTAGAATCACCTGGAAGAGCCTTTGATCTCCTGCTGCCCGAGCCCTACTCCAGAGAAAGTAAATCAGAACTTGGCGTGGGTGGGGGTGGGGAGCTGGGCAGTGGTGTTCTGATCCGAGGGTGGGGAGTGCCTGGGCCTCAGCCCCGTGACAAGCGCACAGGTGGCGCAGGCCTCAGAACCTGGCACACCTGGGAAGCTTCCCTCTCTTCTTGGGAGGGGCCGGTGTTCACGCAGGCAGGTGGGGGAGGGGAGGGCAGGCCTTGTCTGAGAAGGGAGAACCCCAAACTCCTGAGGGGGACAGTGTGAGAGGGGGTTCTATTTAAGGGTCAGTGCCACCTGTCCTTATCCCAGAGGGACCTTGTGTTCTCCCTAAAGAGATTTCGCAGCACAGCCAGCTGGGACAGTGGGAAGAATCCAGATTTTAGAGGCCGACATACCATGTGCTGGTGTTGGGTCTGCCACGTACTAGCTGTGGGAGGAACGGGCCTGTTTCCTCACCTGTGGAGCGCGGTGATAACACCTACTGCACAGGGTAGGTGCTGTGGGATCAAATGAGCTCATGGAGAGAAACCACCCAGCCGACTGCCCAGTGCACTCGGGCACACAAACCACTCATTTCCTCCTGCTCCTTCACTAGCTCTCCCTCTCGGTCAGGGCTCCGCAATGCCCAGGTCCTCCAAAGCCTGGAACGGCCAGGCCAGGCCCTGGGACCCCCGAGCTAAGGAGGGACTGTTACCTCATCCGCTTGCCATGCGTGACCAGGGACTCCTGATACTTCTGCACACACTCCTCCTGGAACACCTGCAGGAGCCTTTTGGCCAGATGACTGAAATTCACCCTGGAACGACAGGGAAAGCATGGCCCAGGAATCAGCAGCCAGGGCCACTGTGCACAAGCCTGGCCTCCCTTGGTCTCCATCGTCACCGTGGCATAAGTGCCCAAGCCCTGAGCCCACGGCAGGGCTGGCTGTGTCTCTGGGGATGGAGAGGACAGTCACACACTGGGATCATGAAGGGGAGTGGCCAGCAAAGCACACACTTCAACAAGGAGACACGGCCCTCAGGGGACACACACCCTCCAGCTCAGACCCCAGAGGGCAGGGCAGGAGAGACAGTTCATGGAAGGAGGATGAATGTTTGTGTGTGTTTGGAGGGCCAGGGGTGGGTGCAGAACTGGGGGAGTAAGTCTCCAAACAGCCATGAAATCAGGGAGGGCCTCCTGGATGATGAGAGTGTCCGGGAAACAGAGGAGCAGAGGTCAGGAGCAGGAAGTGGTCAGCGGTAAATCAGTGAGGACAATCAGGGAAGGAAATCTGCAAACAATCTTGTCCATACCGGAAGTAAACCCAGTTACATCCAGATTGCTTCTGGGAGCCTCCATCCACTGGCCCCAGATAACCTGCCCCAGATGGGGTTACCCTTAGCTCCGCCACAGCCTGGCAGGATCAGGGCCCTTCCTCGCTCTGCCCTGGCGACACCCACCCTCCCAAACCCGCAGGCCGGCAGACGGGCCACTCACTTATCCAGCTTGTGAATCTGCTCCTCGTTGTAGCCAAGCCCTGAAGGAAACAGACAGGACAGAGGTCACTTACTCAATCAGTCAACAAAGCAGAGTGCCGCGAGGGTCGGGGACAGTTACAAAGAGGAAGGCAGCTCAGCCTGGGCCCTGCTTTACGGAAGCTCACGGCCAATGGAGCCGGGAAGGGCAGAGGAGGGAAGCAAGTACCCGAGCAAGTGATCATGGCAAGGCAGGCGCTGGAGAAGCCGCGGAGGCCTTGCTTTAGGGCTATTGCGTTAGGGCTGCGGAGGACGCAGTGGTGAGACCGGCCCCAATGCTCATGTACTGGGGACATGCTGCCCCCTCCTGGGCTTCGAGGGAACGGCCCTCCAGGGTCGTGGCAGCCCCAGGATGAAATGGTGGTGCAGGTTGCTTTGTAGGCGGCCCCGTTCCACTCCCCTAATAGCAGAACCCCCTTCCTGGGCCCTGCGTGCGGCCAGCTGAGAGCACTTAGGAAGTCCAAGAGATCTGGGCAAGTCCCAGCCCCGCCTCCTGCTAGCAGGTGGCTGTAGGTAAGTGATTTCACCTCTCTGCGCCTGCGTCCCCGTCCGTCATGGGCCCTACACGGGACTCCAGTGAGGACCAAGTGAGGAGCGCCCTGAGAGCGACTGCACAGCTTAAGAAATGGAACCTTCCAGCACTCTGGGTGTTCACAGTTAAGGGTTCATTTTGAATTTTAAGAAAGGACTCGTAAAGGCCAGTCGAAGTCAGACTCCATGGAGGCTGTCAAATGAGGTGGTCAAAAGCAGCTGGACCTACGTAGCTCGGGCCACTTAGCCTTTTCTGTGTCTGGGTCTCAGTTTCCTCCTCTAAGAAATGGGGAGGGTAATGGTGCTAGAGTTTTTATGAGCATTAAATCACTTAAGAACGCGCACAGCCCTCAGGACGGTGCCTAGCACGAGGGAGGCGCCCAGTTTAGATTATGGGATCATGGAAAGATGATCCTGAGAGATGCTCCTGAAATCACGGCAAAGAGTCCAGCTGGACACAAGGCGCCGCCGTCTCCTGGGATCGGAAGAGTCCCGCTTTCCCCGCCTCCTGGGTTCTCCCCGACACCCTGAGGCCAGGCGCAGAGGCAGGTCGCAGCTCCCAAGGACAGAGGATTATTTTCCAGATCTGTGTGTCCACTGCGGGGGCAGCAGACACACGCAGCTACCAAGCACTTGACTTGGGGCTAGTGTGACTGAGGAACTGAATTTTCAATTAATTTAAAGCTTAAAGCGGAAGCAGCGTAAACTGTTTTTTCCCCACTAAACATAGCTCTGTTATTTGGGTAAGACTATATTTCACTTCGGTAAAAATTTAGCTTCCCAATAGAAATGTGCTGTAAGTGTAAAATATACGTGGGACTTTGAAAGTTTAGCACAAAAAAGGATCATAAAGTATGTCTTTAGTAATTTTGTTTATATCGATTACATGCTGAAATGAGACTTTGGAGATATTGGGTTGAATAAAATATATTATTAAAATTAATTCCACCTGTTCCTACTTTTTAAAATTTGGCTACTAGAAAGCTTAAAATTACATATGTGGCTGGCAATTATATTTCTATTGAATGGTGGTTTTTAGATGATCCCAAGGATAGAAGATCAAGCCCAAGATCTCCAGTCTACATATTAGCAAATGTTTAGGGCATTGGAGGGGAGCAAGAGGGTTGGTTCCTGGTATCAGCTGGGGCCTCCCCAGGCTCCCTCCGACCCCATCACTAGCCCTGCCCTGGGGTGACCCTGCCCCATGACGGCAGTCACCTCGGGCAAGTGGCTTCCCTATCCCAGGGCATGTGAGTGGGCCGCCCCTGCCCAGAGAGTCTTTGCGAGCATCGTAGATAATGCAGCCAAAACGCCTGGCCCAGTGTCTCGAAATGGGGTTCCTCCTGATCCCCCCCTTTCTAGAAAACCTGGTTATCTCAGTGTCCCAAAGACACAGTGCAAACCGTAAAGTGCTCTGCCACAGTGAGCTCTCTTTCCAGAGCCACCTCTTCTACAGCACCCAGGCTCCAGCCCATTGTGTCCCCCACCTGTGTGAGCCAAGCCTCTCGTGTGGCAATGAGCACGGGTGTGAGGGCTTCGCGCCCCTCGCTGGCCCACAGGCAGCGGGCAGGCAGGGCCCAGCTCTGCTCTCTCAGCCCCCAGCAACAGCTGGCAGGCTATGAATGAATACTCGCAAGGGAGGGAGAAGGGAGCGAGGACAGAGTGAGAGGAATATCTTGCCCTCCCCGTCGGCTCACCTGGCCTCAGCCTAGATTTCTTGAACTGTTTGTAGATGAGGTTCATCTTGTCCAAACAACACTGGATCTGCTGGTTGCTGCGGGCAGGAGAAGGGACCAGGTGTTGGAAGAATCCAACGGCACGGAGTGGAGGGCGAGGGAGGGAGTGGATGGTACGGGAGGAGGGGAGGAGCCGTCTCCCTGCAGAAGGAGCCTCGCTGCCACAGCTGGGGGGCCGATCTGGAGTGGGGGTGGCTATCCTGTCTCTCAGCTTACTTGAGACCCCCTGGGTCCAATTCTCATGGTTTATTTCTCTCTCTCTCACACACACACACTCACGCCACGAGTTAAGTAAGAGGTGGGACGGAGAGAAAGCCAAACAGAACAGGCAGCTGGAAAGTGGCCTCTGCTAGACAAGAAAGCTTGAGGATAGACCCTCAGGAGCCCAGGCCCCTGAAACCTAAGGGAGTCTGGACGTGATCGCTTGGGATGGGGTGGAGCAGGAATCTCTCTCCGGTCACCTGCAAAGGACAGACGGGTGGAGCTTCTTGGTATACCCAATGCCTGGCACAGAGAAGAAACTTAAGATAAATAATGAATCAACAATCCTTGTTTAAAACAAGAATAAATCAATGGTCTTCAGTCCCGCCTGGAGATGGGGAATGTGGAAGATGACCACGCAGAGACCTTCTCAGCCTGGGGTTTAAGGTCATGATTGTTTCCTCCTTCCCCTTTCCAGGCTGGATACAAACACTTTGTTTGAGAAGCCAGGTGTGTGGGGGGAGTTCTTCCTCACCCTCAGGCCTGTGCAGCTCAACTTCCTCCCTCGAGCACCTCCAAAGAACCCCATCTCAGCTATTTTTGGAGCTGGACTCTGGGCAGAGCAGAAGCGTGTTCCCAGAGCCCCACCTGTCCCAGGAGCCTGCCCTCCTGGGAACATGGGGGTAGAGGACCAGGCGGCTGGGATGGGGCCTCAGATCCACAGTCTGTATCCAGAAGGCTCGGGGCCAAACGTGCTCTGAATTCAGAATCGTCTCCTGATGTCAGAAAGGTAATTCAGTGCGCACAGAGCGTGTTGGGGACCATCCCTGGCAGGGTCTGGGCAGCAACTCCTGATCAAAGACATTCACACCCTCAGACAACGGTGAGAATATTCACCCCAAGTGGGATAAATTAAGACTATAAAGAGCTTCATGCCAGGTTAGGTCAGGTTTTACAGTTAAAACAGTTAAGAAAAAACCCTGCAGTTTTCATAGGTTTTTGAGTTTAGAATCGGGGACGTGGGATTGTGGGTCCGTGTAGGCCCCGATTGCAGTGGGTGTCAAAACGTACGGGGGGCTCTCCATGGGGCAGCATGCTCAGGGCGGGGTGGGGGAGGCAGCGGCCCTGCACACATCAGACTGTGGGGTGGGTGGGCACTTTCATGTTTGTTAAAAAGGAGACAAGGGGCTCAAAGGTCGTGAATCTCTGCCTGGGCTAGGCCAAGACCACAGGCCGTGGAGGTGGACAGACCAGGGCAGAAAGCAGGCTGACTTCCACAAAGGCTGCTGCAGCTTTCGAGCTCATGCCCCCCTACCCCACCCCACAAAGAAGGAAAATCCCACAGACCTTCTGTCCTCATGTACCTGATCCCGGCTCTTCGCCAGCTCCGAGCTCAGGTTGCTGAGGCCCACCTGGGTCTCTGTGATATTTTGGGAACATCTGGAGAGGACCTCGGCCAACTGTGGGGCAAAAAGGCAGACCTGCGTGGGGCCCTCAGCTCGGGGCTCTGATGAGCACGCTGGCTGGACCACCGGCCCCGGCTCTGCCCCGAGGAGCCTCCTCCCCCAGCCCCACTCACAGTCCGCAGCCTGGACCTCAGCTCTGCCGCCTCCTTCAGCTCCTGGACCTCAGGCACCCCAGCCACGCCGCCGAACCTTGGAAGCAGGAGAAAGGCCACCTTTAGGGGCTTAGGGGGCAGCTGGAGTGGGAGGCGGAGAACTCTGTGACCGCACGCTGGGCGTGGCATGTTTTGGACAGCCTTGCTGGCTTGCGGGATCTCTGGGGGAATTTGTGTGCTTGGGACAGAGGAAGCAACTCGAAGAGGGCCCTGCTCCCCAAAGTTGTGACATCGTTGAGCATCGCAAAGAATAAAGTGTGAGGTGGATTGAAACACCTTGAATGTATGAAAATTCATGAGCCCGTGATGCAAGGCAGCTATGAATGAACTCCTTACCAAGAGAGTTTGTAACTAAAGGGAAGGAATTAAATTCTTTTCCAGCAGAAACTGTATTTCCTGATAACCAATAGCTTGCCGATGAGGGAAAAGCTGTATTTCATAGACTGCTAGCCAATAATGTGCCAGGACTCGGAACATTAGCATCCTGCTGCCCTAGGAAAATTCTCCTCTTGGGTACAGTGGTCAAATCAACGACGAACGATGAAGAGGTGGACACCTACATGGTGATAAGGTAACACCACGCTGCTTCTTTGTTGCGCAGGGAAAATGAAACCGCACAGTAGAGCAATCAGCCTGCTACCCGCCCCCCCCCCGCCCCCCGTGGTATGTCGGCATGAAGTACCCAGCATCACCTGCGATGTCTTCTAGCAAAAAACGTTCAACCTGAATCCAGCCAGCCTTTAGAACTCCCAGTTTACAGGAAATGCTGGGACAGAAGAACAAGGCAAACTTAAGAGGACGCTCTCCATGAGTCCAGAAGGTGAGACAACAAGGGATGGGTTTCCTCCAACAAGCCAGTGTCATGAAAAACGGGTGGGGGGAGGCAGGGGCAGTTTTGTTCCATTAAAACAGACTTAAGGAGCATAATAACCAGATGCAAAGTGTGGTCTTAGACTGCATCCCAGTTTGAACAAAACTAGCTATAAAAGGAAATTCTGGGGACAGTTAGAAAAATTTGAATATGAATTGGGTACCGAATGAGATGAAAATGTATTGACGCGGAGGGGAGAGCTCATTAGCTGAGAAAAGCAGGTTATAAAACAGCAAATACACGATAATCTCGTGTTACAATAATAATCACAATAAGCTCCACTTACACAGTAGGAAAATATCTACTAAGGTGTAATAACCTATCTCCGGGTGGTAGGATATGGCATTTTTATTTTCTTAGTTTTACTTATCTGTCTTTTCTAACTTTTTACCATTAGCATATACTTTTTTAGTAACAATAATGATTTTTAAAAAGTATCTGGTATATTTTGGCCTAGCAAAGAGTTTAGCCCATAGCAGTCACTCAATGCATGATTGTCAAGTGAATTACTGACCGCACGAATGGCTTTTAGGGCATTTAATACTTGATGGCAGAAGAGGATGAGGCTGACCCAATCCAACTGGGCAGGGAGTCAGGAGACACAGGTTTTTTGTTTTGTTTTCTGTTTGTTTGTTTGTTTTTTGAGACAGAGTCTCACTCTGTTGCCTGGGCTGGAGCGCCATGGCGTCAGCCTAGCTCACGGCAACCTCAAACTCCTGGGCTCAAGGCATCCTCTGTCTCAGCCTCCCGAGTAGCTGGGACTACAGGTGTGCACCACCACACCCAGATAATTTTTTGTTTCTATTTTTACTTTGCCTGGCTAATTTTTTTCTATTTTTAGTAGAAACAGGGTCTTGCTCTTGCTCAAGCTCGTCTCAAACTCCTGACCTCAAGCAATCCTCCCACCTCAGCCTCCCAGAGTGCTAGGATTACAGGCGTGAGCCACCGCACCCGGCCGGGAGACACAGGCTTGAGTCCTAGTCCTAGTGGCCACACTTGCTATCTGCGTATCTTGGGTGAGTCACGTTAGCTCTCCAGGCCTCAGGTTCCTCATGTATAAAACGGGGAGACAAATTTCCTTACTGCTACCTAATAAGGTGTTTGTGGGATCAAACGGGACCTCAGAGATAAAGGTCTTGCCTAGAAAGCACATTTATACAAACACATATTTTTTGGTGGTGGGGGTGGGGGAAGCCCTAGGATTCCTGAAGCCAATCCCAGCCGAACGGTGCCTATGGGTAGCAGCGGCTGCCAAGGAGGGCCAGGCAGCTTCGGGACAAAGCAAGTCTGCTCTGCCAAGGGAGCAGCCTTGTGGAGCCTGGGGCAGGAGGAGCACGGCGGGGAGAGGTGAGTAACCAGGCTGGCTAACGGCAGGCCATTTCGCCCCAGGTGCTTGGACTCCTCCAAACATGACATTCAGCCCATTAAAGTATCCGATTCCACTGGGGAAGGAGCTAGTGGCTTTGGACCTTAGAAGGATCTGCAGGTCTGAGAATGTTCAGAAAAGAGTGGGATTGCACAATGTTGGAGCTGGGAGGCCTCAGAGATCATCCAACCCTCTCATTTTGAAAATGAGGACACAGAGGCCCAGGTAGGGAAGTGACAATGGCCTGGGGTCACACTGAGAGCTAGTGAAGAGATTGCACCTGGCCCTCCATCTCCCTGCTTGGGGCTCTTTCTGCTCTCCGTCCTCCCCCTCCACCGAGGCTGCGACACGCTTCGAAGCAGGCACTTGCCTGACCCGCCCGAGTTCTCTGGACACACCACTCCTCAGAGCAGGCCTCAGAGCCAGAGTGGGGCAACAGCAGCCAGCAGACCCCAGGACTCCAGACCTGGGCCCGCGGGCCACCCACACTCCTGTCAGTCCCGGGCCAGTGGGCAGAGAGACACCCCAAATGCTTTCTCTGTACATCTTTCCAGATCGAGAACCTATAATGGCTCCCTACTGGTTATTTTATTGGGGTCTGACCTCCTTGCATTCCCTCCTCCCCTCCGCACCCCCACCCCTGTCCCTCTCTGACTCTATTCTGGGGCATTTGCCACTGTGGCTATGGTTCCCGCAAATCTCACCAGCACTCCCTCCCTCCCCCCAAATATGTTCCCCTTCTGCCTCTGCACAGATCTTCCCACCTGAGGTATTCTCCTTCCTCTGGCCTAAAAAGTCTCATCTTCCAGGAAGGCCTCCATGGTTGCCTCCCCCCATCGGTAGTCTGCACTACCCAACCATCCTATCAGCCCTCACATGCCTGGGAAGGGCTAATTGCTCCGGGGGAGCGTGGGCCTCTCTGTGTGACATTATGCCACATCTGTCCCTGGAACCCCTTTCTGTGCCCTGGATAGAGCTCTGCTCAAGGAGAATCACCAGCAGCACTGCTGAGTGACCCCTGCTCTCCGTCACCGTTTGAGGGGGGCTTGGCCACGAGGTGGACTCCATCCATGTCATCTGGAGACTCCTCTTCCTCCTCTCTGCACCCCACCTACGCTGCCCCTCCGTCCGCGTCGCTGCTGCCAGGCCCGAGAGGCACGCGAGGCTGCAGCGAGTCAGACCACTGCCGGGAGACTCCCTGCACCTCCCTGAGGCCAAGGGCTGGGGGAGGCGGGAGGAGGGGGGACTTCAGGCATGCTTGGCAGTCTCTGATCCTCTGTCCCCAAAGACTCCCACCACCTGGCTTCCCCGGGCTGCAGAGCTCCCGTCTCTCGCCCGTAGCATGGCCCATGCCTTCCAGGACTCGGGCAGTGCCCGCTTCTCCACGGTGCCCTGGCCAACCCTGTGGCCTGGAGCACCTCCCGTGTTTCCCATCCAGACCCTCAGCTTGGCGTCCTCCTCCTCCTCAGTCCCCCTCTTCATCCAGCCCATCCAAGACAGGGGAGTGGAGGGAGGGGGGGGTGCCAAGGATTGGGACAGGGAACCCTTAGGAGGCAAGGACACATTGCAGACCCAGAGGAAGCAGGAGAAGGGGCGTGGAGGATGAGACCGCCTGGATCTCCAACCTGGGTCATGTCCGGGGACCGCGTGTGGGTTGACTCCTTCCCCAGAGACCTGTGCCAGGCCTTGGTGCAGGGTGAGTACTTAAAATCATTCAGAACAAGGCCTGGCAGGACAGAGGCCCTTCCTGGGGCAGGGAGGCTGCTTTGGTAGCTGGAGAACCAGTGCCCTTCATGGCCTCCCAAGTGAGGGGTTGGATTGGGAGGAGGGATGTGGAGTCACCTGGAGCAGTGGGGGGATAAAGGACAGGGTGGGGGTGCCCTCCCTAGTCCACCAGGGGTGCAGGAGAGCTCTGGGTGGGGGAGGCGAGGTGCATCAGGGAGCACCAGGGGTGAGGAACAGACAGAGACAGCAAGGCTGAGAGGTCCCAGCTAGCCGGGCAGGACACCTACCTCTCGGTGCCCAGGCTGCTGCTGAGGAAGAGGAGGGCCGTCCGCGTGACCTCTACCGTCCGCCTGCTTGTGGTCTGGAGCACCTCCCTGCCCAAGCGGAGCCGGAGTCAGAGCCACCTTGCCCAGGGGGACCAGGGGACGGGGGCACCGTGCATGTGGCATGTCCCAGAACGGTGCGGAGAGTCCTGGCCTCCTACCCCACCCTCTCCCCCGCCCTCACGGGTACTCACACCGCCCAGTGCAGCCCCCGCAGCATCAGCTCCTGCCCGTCCAGCAGGGCCCGTGCCAGCCGCAGGGCCTGGTAGCCGGCGCCCAGCACGCCCTGAAACACACGGGTGGGCAGGGGCAGGTCCCACACCTCCTACCCTGTCTGCACCCCTCCCTGCCACCTGGGGGCCGCCCCTCACCTTGGCTGTGTTGTAATCTGCCTGCAGGTCCACTTTGGGGACAAACTTGGGGATGTCCAGAGCAGCTGCAGGTAAAGACCCCTGTCTGAGTGGCCTGCCTTATGGTTCCGGGTCAACTCCAAACGCACCCTTCGTTATCTGCAGCTCACACCGCTCACCACCAACCCCACACCCCTGAGCCCCACACCTTCCAAGCCTGGGACCTGAGGCCTGTCTTTACCATGCGGTCCCTCACTGCCACCTTGTGGCCACTTTGGGAACTACACCCTCATGCCTAAGGGCCCATGGCAACAGCCAGAAAGTGGACTAAAACCACCCTCTTGCCTACGTATTTCCAGGTTAATTCCCAAGAAGGAGGATGAAATTGGCATAATTCAAATGAGGATGAATGATATTTGTGCTATAACTTGGAGAAAGGACAAAGCTCTGGACCCCTGACCACCTTCCAGCAGTTTGGGCTCCTGCTTCCTCCGGCACAAACGACCTGAGGCTCCCCCATTGACCAGAGATTACAGACAGCGTGTTCAATCTGAATCTCCCTGTTTCCACTGGAGTGGATGCTGTGAAGCCCAGAGAGGTCAAGCCACTAGCCCAAGTCACGTGGCATCTCAGAGGCAGCTGTAGAATTAGAACCCAGATCTGCCTTCTGTACCCTGTGGGCCCAAAGAAACACTCACAAGGAGAATCGACCAATGCCCTGGACTGCAAACCCCTGCTTCTTGGAGGAGAGGGTGCGGGGGAGAAAAGACCCAGCCTGGGTGGCCCTACTCACGGTCCCTGAAGGCCAGCCCCTTGGGGGTCTCGCTGGCCACACTGAAGAGGGTCAGGGGGCTGCTCGCCGTCGTGTGGGCGATGTGCTGCGCTGAGAGGCTGGGCTCGAGGACGCAGAGGTGACCCTCGAAGAGGTACTCCTGGTGCCGGGGGGCCACACTGGTCTGCTCATACACGGCCTCCAGAAAGATGGCTATCCTAGACACGGCCGGGCAGGGGAGGCGTCAGCAGGCAGGACGCAGGGTCAAGGTGCCCTAAGCCCCTGGTAAGACTTTGCTCATAGACAGGGCTCAGTTTCTTTTGTCAGGGGGTACTGGGGTCATTTTCTCTCTCATCAAAGCTGGAGAGAAAGAGCGGAGAGTTCATGTCTTATTAGTAGATGCAGACAGAGCGGGAACAGAGCCCCGCCTCTGCCCTTCGCCTCTCCACGCCACACTCCGATTAAAATTCCCTAGTCCCACAACGTACCCCGGGAATAAAGGGTTCTATGAGCAACAAATTTAGAAAATGTGTCGCCAGCACATACACACTTCTCAAACGTATAACGCCCATTAGCCTTGCAAAGGTGTGGAATCTCCGAAGTTCGAGCAAGAAAACCTGTTTAACTCTGTGAACTAGTGTTTTTCGAAACTATTAATAAGTTTGGACCTAAAAGTTTTATCTCTAAATACTCCCTAGTACGTGCTTTGGGCGGTGCCACTTTGGACGCACACTTCCGCTTGGGCGGGGGTCCCCGTGCCGGCCCTCCCCCGCCCACCTCACCTGTTGTGGGCGTGGATGTACACGTGGTGCAGGACGGCCTGGGACAGCGAGAAGACGTGGAAGACGACCCGCTGCAGGATGTCGCTCGTCTCCGCGAAGAACTGGTCGAAGCCCCAGCACTTGGCCTGCTCCACCTCCAGGATGTTGGCCAGGATGGGCACCAGCTGGCTCTGCAAGCCCCTGCCCTCCCAGGACACGGACACTGTCAGCGGCTGGGCCCCAGACGTGTCCCCGAGCAGGCGAAGGGGCATGAGGAGGCCCTGAAGAACGAGGACGGGGCGGTCGGGAGGGAGAGCTGGAAGAAGGCGCTCCAGCATCCGGGTGGAGGAACCGAGGCCACAAAGGGCGAGTGTGGCTCCCAAGCCCTCAGTGTGCCCGGGGGCCCCACTGGAACAGGCCTCAGACATCCTGACTCGGCACAGAGAAGTGACACCCAGCCCAGACGTGAGCACCGCCCGCCCGGCGGGGCCCACTCACTTGGACAGGCGGCAGGTGACCGGGAGGGTGTAGCTCCACTCCAGCGGCCCGTGCTCCCGCCTCTGCGTGCCCGCGATGGCCCCGGGGGGCTTCTCTGTGGTGATCCGGTGCCTGGGGTGAGGCAGGGCCGGGTCAGCGGATCCCAGACGTCACACTTGCAGGGATGACAGACTCAGCAGGGCGGGCTCGAGCACTGGGTCCGGTCACCCAGCCACTCTAAGGCAGCCGGGAGAGTGGAAGCTGAGAGGCCCCGGCTCCCAGCCCGTGAGCTCAGCTTGCCCGGGACGTCCCCCGCCAAGCCCTTCGCTCAGGCAGCAGGACCTTTGCCCTGTCGCCGCCTCTGCCCTCACTGCACGCGGCGTCCACACCTTGGCCCGTGCTGTGCTCGCTGCCCGCCAGCCTCCCCCCTCAGCGTCTAACCTTCCCTGACAGCCCGCCCGGGCCAGTGTCCTCCCCTTTCCGGAAGCCAGAACCGGTTCCGCTCAGCTCACCCCCCAGGCCGAGGGTGGGTGGCTGGACCTCTGCTCCTGCCGCATGACTCTGTCTTGCTCTGGGCAGGGCACCCAGCGACAGCGGCTCCGTCTCCAGCCACTCGCTGCCTCCGTGCCGGCAGGAAGCCAAGCAGGGACCTTGGACCTGGGAGCTGGAGGCGGGGTTCCCGCCCCACCTCTGCCCCTCACCACCCCAGGCTGGGTAACCCGGGCAAGTCGAAGATAAGGGAACATTCCCAGGCTCCCACCTAGCCGTGGGCAGGGCTCAGCTCCTCCTGGGACCCACAGTTTAACCAAGGACCTACCAGGAGCCTGGCTGGGGATGGACAGAGAAAGGTGGCAGAGTTTGAAGGGGAAACAGAGGACCCAGCAGGGACCAGTGGGGGAAGGTCCAGGGCCATCCCCCCCCCCCCCGGCCCGCAGCCCACCATACATGATCTCCTTGTTGCGCCGCGGCCCGCCAAAGGGGATGAAGGGCAGGCTGCCGGTGGCTGCATGGTACAGGGTCACCCCGATGCTCCAGAGATCCACGGTCACCCCGAACGCCTTTTGCTGGGGCTTGCGGAGCACTGCGCGTTCATACATGTCGGGGTGCTGCCGGGGAGGGAACCAGAAAGCAGCGGCGGTGGGGGGCGGGCAAGGGCCTGAGCCCCTACCCATCAGGCCCCCTTCCACCTTCAGGTGAAAACCGGACCACTCGGAACCCGGCTCCTTCGGCATCTTAAAACAGGTGGTGCTTTCCTCGGCCCACCCAGAGCATTTCCACCTGCCCAGCCTCCGCCCTGGGGGTGGTGGCCGCCTCGTCCCCCCGCCTCCCGAGCAGGTCCCGGTCCCGGCACGAGGCGGGCGGGCTGCGCAGGCCTTGGCATCGCCTGTTCCGCCTTAGAGAACAGAACGGATTCTTCTGGACGGGGTGCAGGGGGCGAGATAGGACCCTTCCGGAAGCAGGGGGACGGGCCAGCCGCCCTCCTGGGGGCTCCGAGGGCGTCGCAGTGTCCCCAGCAGCTCACTCACCAGGTACTCCTCAGTCCCGTAGACTGAGACGAACTTCTCATCGTCGTCCAGCTCCCGGGCGGCCCCGAAGTCCGTCAGCTTGTAGATGCTCTGTCCCTCCTCCCCCACGAGGCGCATGATGTTCCCGGGCTTGATGTCGCGGTGGACGATGCCGTTCTCCCGCAGGTGGTTCATGCCGGCCACTGGGGACAGACGGAGGGCTGCTGGGTGGCTCTGGCTGCGGACAGTCTAGAGCCTGAGGCTCACCTTGGTGGGAAGGCTGTCCTTGCCTCCGGATAGACAGGTGGTTCCCACGGGCTGATGGGGCCACGGGAAAAGCCGGGGAACAGCGTGGGCTCGGGGCAAAGGAGGGAGCCCGAGGGCACCGGGTATCGGGGCTCCAGCTGTCTTCTCTAGAAACCAAAGGCGCAGACCCCTTTGTGTTATTTATTTAATTGTGGTAACATATACATAACAAAATTTATCTTTTTTTTTTTTTACATCCTATATAGTTTTATTTACATAAAATTCTAGGATTGGCAAAACATAGTAATAGGTGAGAGATTTGACTAAGAGAATATGATGGATGCAAAAATTTATATTTATCGACTTGAGTTGCAGTTATGTGGGGGTATGCATTTGCCCAAACTTCTTACACACTTAAAATGGGTGAGTATTATTTCATGTAAATTATACCTAAGTTGACTTAAAAAATAAAATTGCACTTTATGAAATAATTTTGGTTGTATCTTTTAATAGTTTCATGTGTTAATAATTCCTTTGTCCTCACTTCCAGGACAAAATTTATCATTTCAACCATTTTTAAGTGTACAGTTCAGTGGCATGAGGCACATTAACATTGTCTTGCCACCCTCACCGCCATCCACCTCCAGAACTTTCTCATCTTTCCAAACTGAACCTCTGTACCCATTAAACAACACTCCCCATGCCCCCTCAACCCCGGCACCCACCGTTCTACTTTCTGTCCCTGTGAACCCGACCACTCCAGCACCCTCGCGTGAGCGGAATCACATGGTGCTGGTCCCTTCGTGACGGCTTATTTCACTTGGCATGATGTCTTCGAGATTCATGCATGTTGTAGCGTGTGTCAGAATTTCCTTCCTTAAGGTCGAATAATATTCTATTGCATGTATGTCCCTCATTTCGCTTATGTATTTAGGCCTTGCCACCTTTTGGCTGTTGTAGATAATGCTGCTATGAATGTTGGTGTTCAATCTTTTTTAAATTTTATTTTTAAATTGGAGTTTTAAACCGAATGACTAGCAGAACCAGACACCCAGTGCTGCCCAGTAGGGCCCGCCCCAGGCCTGCAGCTGGTTGGAGGGGGGCAGGGCGGGG